TGTAGGTCCTACTTCTTTCTTTACTTACTTCCCGTCTGTTGTTTCTGTCTGTCTGTCTGTCTGTCTGTCTGTCCGTCTGTCTGCCTTACTTTTCCCCAGCACTAAACGACCGTTGTTGTGTCGATATGCTTCTCTTTACTGAAAAACAAAAAGACAAAAACAAAACAACGAACATCTCCCGTGGAATCTTTTAGTTCCCCCAGCGTGGCATCAATTTGTCTCTACGTGATGTATTATTGAGTGGGTGGTTGGAGGGCGCCGCTTGTAGGTCCTACTTCTTTCATTACTTTCCCTCTCTTGTTTCTGTGAGTCTGTCTGTCTGTCTGCCTTACTTATCCCCGGTACTATAATTCTGCTGTGCCAAGGCAGACCGACGTATCTGCAAAAAGTATTAATTTTTACACCTTCGTTTAAATGGAAGCCTATACTTATTCTGTCAAAGGCAGACCGACGTATCTGCAAAAAGTATTAATTTTTACACCTTCGTTTAAATGGAAGCCTGTACTTATTCTGTCAAAGGCAGGAAGACGTATCTGCACTACAAATAGGAGATTTCACTATGGCAAACAGACGTAGTGGGTGGTTGGCGGGTTCTCTGGTGTGGTTTGCTTCTTCTTTCCTATCAAATATCTATCGTACTTATCTCCCATTCTTCTTTTTTTATGTTTGTTACTCTCTTGTAACACCTCTAATCTTCTGGCGCTAAAATGACCTTGTGCAGTTGCGAGCGCCGTAAAACCTCTACTAAAACTTTTTTTAAAACCCAGACGTAACTGAAGGGCCCTGCCCACATTTAATTATTTCCAAAGGCAGCGCGACGTAACTCAAAATCATTTTTTTAAAGTGCAGATGCGTCGCTCTGCCTTGGCACGGCAGTTTAATTAATTATTGTTGTGTCGATGTGCTTCTCTTCTCACTCAAAAACAAAAACAAACCCCAAACATCTCTCGTGGAATCTTGTAGTTAACACACCGTGTCATCAGTTTGTGTGTGTGTGATGTATTATTGAGTGGGTGGTTGGAGGGCGCCGCTGGTAGGTCCTACTTCTTTACTTTCCCTCCGTTGTTTCTGTCTGTCTGTCTTACTTTTTTCCGGCACTAAACGATGATTATTGTACACGCATGTGTCAATGTGCATCTCTATACAAAAAAAGAAAACAATAACAACAAAACCAACCCAAAACAAAAAACAAAACAACGAACATCTCCCGTGGAATATTTTAGTTCCCCCAACGTGGCATCAGTTTGTGTGTGTGCGTGCTGTATTATTGATGGCGCGCTAGTGGGTCCTACTTCTTTACTTTCCCTCTGTTGTTTCTGTCTGTCTGTCTGTCTGTCTGTCTGTCTGTCTGTCTGTCTGTCTGTCTGTCTTACTTATTCCCGGCACTAAACGACGATCATTGTACTCGCATGTGTCAATGTGCTTCTCTCTACAAAAAACAAACAAAAACAACCCCAACCCCAAACAAAATGAACAATACAAAAAAGACACAAAAAACAGCAAACGAACATCTCACGTGGAATCTTGTAGTTTCCCTAGCGTGGCATCAATGTGTGTGTGTGTGTGTGTGTGTGTGTGTGTGTGTGTGTGTGTGTGTGTGTGTGTGTGATGTATTACGTCCTGGTACCGCCATGATGTCGCAATGATGAGGGCTCTTGGCGATCTCTGATAATACACTTCTCTCTAATCTCTTCTTAAACAAAAACAATACATTTTCCCATCCCACCTAGGTCTCTTTCTCTCTCTCCCTCTCTCTCTCTCTCTCTCTCTCTCTCTCTCTTTTTTTCTTTCTTTCTTTCTCTCTCTCTCTCTCTCTCTCTCTCTCTCTCTCTCTCTCTCTCTCTCTCTCTCTCTCTCTCTCTCTCTCTCTCTCTCTCAAGCTATCAATTTTTTTGTTTTCAGTAGTTTGCTGTTCTATCTTGTAACTCTCTCTCTCTCTCTCTCTCTCTCTCTCTCTCTCTCTCTCTCTCTCTCTCTCTCTCTCTCTCTCTCTCTCTCTCTCTCTCTCTCTCTCTCTCTCTCTCCTCTCTGAGTCTCCCCCCATCCCAGTCACAACTGACTGGTTGGCACACGTAATACACTTGTGAAATTTAAAGAACCACTTCGGCTATATATATATATATATATATATATATATATATATATATATAGCCGAAGTGGTTGTGTAAATTTCACAATAGCATTAAAATTGTTTTTCTCAGAATCTTCCTGATGCCGTAAACGTGTTATTAATTGTTGTGTCTAATCGTCAACCAAAGATAAGAAGGCGGGGCCTCCTCCAGTCCTATTTCGTGACGTCAGATTGTTTATTATTAGATCTGTCAGTGTTTTTTGTTTTCAATTTCAGTGGCTCGTCCTATTTTGTGACTCGTGTAGTTAGATCTGCGTGTGTTTTTGTCTTCAATAGCCCGTTCCACTGCGTGACTCCTTTTGTAAGGTCCGTGGGTTGTTTTTTGTTTGTTTTTTTTTTGTTTTTTGGGGGGTTGGTTGTTGTTTTTTTCCAGTGTCATCATGGCTGGAGTTTGTGGCTGAACTTTGACTGAGTTTTAAGCTTATCTCAGGAAGGAATGTGTTGTTTGTGTTGTTGTCAATGACTTCTGATGATAGGATTTGCTCTTTCGTTTTAGTTTTCTGACTATTTTCATTCGTGTATGTTTTTGTTGTTTTATTTTCCTTCAGAAAACTTACTGCCGTGGGTGTTTTTTTTTCAGAATTCATTCATCACTGCCTTTTTCACCCTGCATCAGGGTATGCCATGGATAAACACTTCTCACCTTTCTCTATCATGGGCTAGCCTCTTGGTATTATTCCATGTCTTCCCACTCAACTCAAATGCATATTATTAGTGGGTGGTTGGCGGGTGCTCTGGTGTGGTTTGCTTCTTCTTTCCTATCAAACATCTATCGTCCTTATCTCCCCTCCTTTTTTTTTGTTTGTTACTCTCTTGTAACGCCTCTAATCTTCTGGCGCTCATATGATCTTATGCAGTTTCGAGTGCAGTAAAACTTCTAGTAAGATTAAAACATGGTCCGAAGTGACCCTCTGGTTTCTCTATTTCAATACATTCACCACCCCCTGGGGCAGTGCCACTGACTGTAGTGTCTTTAGGCCATTCCCAAAATGGGGATATTTCTCGTTCAAGCACAGTAGAATTGTAAATAGGCTGATTCATGTCACGCTCATTACTGTGCCTGATCTACAACAGGGAACTGCTGCTTTTTCTTTCCTGATCCTAACCATTGTAATTTCCTCTACTTCTTTTGTATGTTTGTCACTCTCTTGTGACCTGCTATTTTGGGGTGCCTTGATAGTCGAAGCAGACCTTGTGCTGTTGAAGCCAGAGAGGCGAGCAGTCAAAGTCTGATTCCCTGTAAAGACTTCTCTGTTGACACCCACCCCTTGGCGCTCGTTTGACCTTATGCAGTTGCGAGCGCCGTAGAACCCTATTTTTAAAGAAATGGTCCGAAGTGACCCTCTTGTTTCTCTATTTCTTCAATACATTCATTCACTACTCCGAAGTCATACACAACAACACTCTTGTTGGGCTTATCAGCAGCATGTCAAGAGAGGGTGACCGTAATGTCATTTATCAGGAGAAATTACCAGTTGGAACTAGATCTGGTCCGAAAGAACTGGTAATGGCAGAGGTAGCCACGGAGTTGCGACATGATACCTTTCTCTGCTCTGTGTTATCTTATCTCTCTGACCTCTACTGCTGGCATTCCGTTGGTCCAGCGGTCTTAAAGTGCTTACTATGTGCATGTATAATAATAATATGTGCCACCTTACTGTCTTAGTTATACATGTATATTCTTTTTTTGTGTTTTTGTGTGTGTATAAATTAATGTAGATTTAAATGCTTTATGCCTGCGTGGGTGCTTGGAGGGCGCCACTGGTTAGTCCTAATTTTTAAAAAATTCTTTCCCTCTGTTGTTTGTTTCTGTTTGTCTTGTTTTTGTTTGTCTTGCGTGTGTGGTTGGCGGGTGCTCTAGTGTGGTTTGCATATCTTCTTTCCTATCAAACATCTATCGCCCTTATCTCCCCTTCTTTTTTATGTTTGTTACTCTCTTGTAACACCTCTAATCTTCTGGCGCTCATATGACCTTATGCAGTTGCGAGCGCCATAAAACCTCTACTAAAACTAAACTTTTTTTGTTGTTGTATGAATTAATGTAGATTTAGATGCTTTATGCCTGTGTGGGTGGTTGGAGGGCGCCCACTGGTTGGTCCTAATTTTTTAAAAATTCTTTCCCTCCGTTAATTTCCCTGTTTTCGTCTGTCTTGCGTGGGTGGTTAGCGGGTGCTCTGGAGTGCTTTGCTCCTTCTTTCCTATCAAATATCTATCATTCTTATCTCTCCTCCTTGTTTTTTTGTGTTTGTTACTCTTTTGTAACTTCTGTGTTCCTCAGCTCTTATATTGCCTAATTGTGTTGCAAGTGCCGTCGCGCTCATATGACCTTTTGCAGTTGCGAGCGCCGTAAAACCCTATACTAAACAAACAACTCTTACTAACACTAAAAACAAAAATGGGCCAGTATGCATGCAGCATTTATTTAAATCTTATTTTATTGTTCAGCACCTAGAGCTACCAGGTAGTGGGCGTTGTGAAAGGGATCTTTATTATTATGTGTTAAAATCTAATGTCCTTATCTTTCCTCTTTTTCTGTGTTTGTACGACCTCTAAATCTTCAGCATTTACATGACCTTAATGGGTTGCAAGTGCCGTAAAACTCTTACTGAAACAAAACTAATGATGGTGTTTTATTCCGTGTCTCCCCACAGAGTTCAACCTGAAGAAGATGTGGCTCAGCCCCAACGGAACCATCAGGAACATCCTGGGCGGCACCGTGTTCCGTGAGCCAATCATCTGTCAGAGCATCCCTCGTTTGGTGCCCGGCTGGACGCAGCCAATCGTCATTGGCCGTCACGCCCACGGAGACCAGGTGGGGAACGGGAAAACATTTCTGGTTTTGTTTTTTGTTTGTTTGGGTTTTTTTTAAAATGTTTTTGTCTCGGTTTCACATCTAATGTGTTTACCCTGGTTTGGTCTCAATTCAACAAAAGATTTCTGGTTTTCTTTTTTTTTTTCTCTCCTTTTTTTTTCATGTTTTTGTCTCGGTTTCACGTTTAATGTTTTTATACTGTGTTTTTATTTTTACTCATTTCAACTAAAGGTATGTTAGTGGGTGGTTGGCGGGCGCTCTGGTGTGGTTTGTTCCTTCTTTCTTATCGGACTACTATCGTCTTTATCTCTCCTTCTTTTTTATGTTTGTTACTCTCTTGTAACACCTCTTGTCTTCGGCGCTTATATGACCTTATTGTATTGCAAGTGCCGTAAAACTGACTTAAACCGAAAAAAAAGATATGTTAGTTTTTGTTGATTTTTTTAACAAAATGTTTTTGTCTGGGTCTCATGTCTAATGTGTTTACCCTGGTTATGTCTCATTTCCACCAAAAACATATTAGTTTGTTTTTGGGTTTTTTTAATTTAAAAAAAAATGTTTTTGTCTCTGTCTCATGTCCTGTTTTCCCAGGTTTTGTCTCATTTCAACTAAAAATATGTTAGTTTTTGTCGATTTTAAAACATTTTTTTTTGGGGGGGTCTGTTTTTGTTTTTTCTTCATTTATTTATTTTTTTGTCTTATATTTCATGTTTTTGTCATAGTCTTATTTCTAACGTATTTATCCCGGTTTTGTCGTATTTCAGTACAAAGCCACAGACTACGTCGCGGAGTCTGAGGGCACTCTCGATCTCATCTTCACCCCGACCAACGGAGGCCCACCCGTCAAAATGCCCGTGTTCAACTTCAAGAACGGGGGCGGTGTCGGTATGGCCATGTACAACACTGATGAGGTGAGGATGTGTGTCGGGGGGGGGTAATGTGTGTGGGGTGAGAATGTTTGTTGGGGGTGATGTGTGTGTATGTTGGGGGTGAGAATGTGTGTGTGGGTCAGAGTGAGTTCAAATATGTGTTGTGTGTGTGGTTGACAATGTGTATGAGGTCTTTTTTTTATAGTAGAGGGTTTTACGGGGCTCGCAACTGCATAAGGTCATATGAGCGCCAAGCTGGGGTCTGAATGTGTGAGCGGTAAGGTTTATTTGGTCATATGTGGGGTGAGAATGTGCACGTAGGGTGAGAATGTGTGTGGTTGTATATGAGGTGAGTGGAAAAGTGCCCTCATTTTGCATCATCTATTTTTCCCTGCACGCTGCCCCATCTACCCATCTTTGCCCACCACCAAAGTCTCCCACCTCCCTATCCTCCCTCTTCTTCCCACCTTCCCACCTTCCACCAATCCCCCCTTCTCACTTCCCACTGCTTCCCATCCATCCATCCCCCCCTCCCACCATACACTTCCCACCAACTCTCTCATCTTTCATTCATTCATTCATTTTTATTTTAAAAATTTATTTTCTATTTACCTATTTATTTATTTATATTGTTTATTTATTTGTTTACTTATTAATTAATTAATTTAATTATTAACCGTTTTTTACCTACTTATTTATTCAGTTATTTTTTTATTATTCATTTATTCATTTATTCATTCATTTATTCATTCATTCATTCATTTATTTATTTCTAAAACTTTTTTCGTTCGTGCTCCTCCTTCAGTCCATCGCCGGGTTCGCCCACGCCTGCTTCCAGTACTCCCTGATGAAGGGTTGGCCTCTCTACATGAGCACCAAGAACACCATCCTCAAGAAATACGACGGAAGGTTCAAGGACATCTTCCAGGAAATCTTCGAAAGGTTCAGAGCTCAACGCTTTTTTTTTTTTTTAGACTTTTTGTTGGGTTGGGGAATGTGGCGGCTGCTGTCTTGTGTGGTTTTTTTTATAGCTTCTTCTTTACTAGCGAACAAACGTCTATAAGTGGGTGGTTGGCGTGTGCTCTGGTGTGGTTTATTCCTTCTTTTCTATCTTGCGAGCATCTATCAGTGGGTGGCTTGTGGGTGCTCTAGTGTGGTTTGTTTCCTCTTTTCTATCAAACATGTATTAGTGGTTTGATGGTGGGTGCTCTGGTGTGGTCTGCTTGCTTCAGTGGGTGGTTGGCGGGGGGGGGGGTGCTCTGATGTGATTTGCACCTTCTTTTTCATCAAGCAAACATTGATCGTCCTCCTCTCTCCTCCTCCTTTTCTGTGTGTACTTCTAATCTTCATCACTTTATAACATCTATAAATGGGTGGTTGGCGGGTGCTCTGATGGGGTTTGTTTGCTCCTTCTGTCCTAGCAAACATCTGTCGTCCTCATTCTCTCCTCCTCTTGTTCTGTGTACACTTCTAATCTTCATCACTTTAGTGACCTATTTTTGTTGCAAGTGCTATATGCATGTTAAGGGGACACAACTCAAGAATTACCGTTTCTCTAGCTTCTGCTATAATTTTTAGACCAGCACTGTCTTTTGTTACTATTCGTATCAGGGAGCTTGCTTGCACAAGATTAAAAGTGAACTTTCTAAAACTTTTACTAAGTGGGTGGTTGGTGGGAGCTCTAGTGTGGTTTGCTCCTCCTTTTTTCCTATCAAATACTTTTCAGCCTCATCTCTCCTCCTTCCTTTTTTATGTTCATTACTCTTTTGTAACACCTGTAATCTTCGGCACTTATATGACCTTATTGTGTTGCAAGTGCCGTAAAACACTTACTAAAACTTAATTGACCTAATTGTGCTGCAAATGCTGTAAAACTCTTACTAAAACTTTTTTAAATCTTCGCCATTTCTATGACCTACTTGTGTTGCAAGTGCCATAAACCTCTTACTAAAACTATTTTAAAAAGCCCCCAAAACTTTTGCTAAAACTGTTTGCTGCGTGTGCGTATATGTTGTTGCTGTTGTTGTTGTTGCTCTAGTCTGATTCCCTGTGAAGACTTCTCTGTTGACACCCACCCCTTGGCGCTCATATGACCTTATGCAGTTGCGAGCGCCGTAAAACCCTTTACTATAAAAAAAAAAAATGACAACGTTTGTTTTGTATGCATCAACAGCCAGTACCAGCCCGAGTTCGACAAGAAGGGCATCTGGTACGAGCACCGTCTGATCGACGACATGGTCGCCCAGTGCCTCAAGTCCTCTGGAGGATTTGTCTGGGCCTGCAAAAACTACGACGGTGACGTGCAGTCCGACATTGTCGCTCAAGGTCAGTCGGTCGGCGAGAGAGGGGGGGGGGGTAAAAAGATGGGTCACGGTTTTGGTTAAGGTTGACATTTTAAGGATGGGAATTCTTCTCATATAGTTCACTTCATGCATTGTGTCATTTTCTTTTTGGAAAAACTGGATTTTTCATCGAGAGACATGTTCGTACAAATTTCTCCATCAAACATCTATTGTCCTTATCTCCCCCTCCTTTTTTTGTGTTTGTAACTCTCTTGTAATTTCTTTTACCATTTATGAAAGTTAAAACAACGGGCATTTGAATATCAAGGCCCCTAGATCTAGAATGCTTTGCCTAGTGCTTTAAGAGAGATCAAATCATTTTATTAATTCAAATGTGAGCTGAAGTAATTTCTGTTTGAAAATTAATAAGATGAATATTTGGAGAGATTTTCTTTTGGTCAGAACACGTATGTTACTGTTGTATTGTACTGTAAAGCGCCCAGAGCCTGTGTACTTTAATCGCGGTTGAGCGCTATATGAATGTCATTTATTATTATTGTAACACGGACACCTGACCTTCGGCACTTCTATGACCTTAATTATGTTACAAGTGCCATAAAACTTCCTAAAACATTTCCACCTGCATATGTTAACCAGCTGGTAAACTGTATCCATGGGGGGGTGTAGAAACATTAAACATTATATTACATCTTCTGCTTCTGTAGATCTATCATCCTTTTGGGTCGCCTCTGACAGATAACAACAAATCTCCTCATCGACACCTCTCGGCTCTCTGCTTTCCTCAGTGTGACCCGCACCTCCTTTCGCTGTCCGTTCTCAGATGTCATCCTCCCATCTCTTCTTCTGTCTGCCTCTCCTTTGTCCTCCCTGCACTACACACAGTGCCTTGTAGAATGGTTTTAGCGAGGTCTGAAGAAGGGGTGACATGGCCATACCAGAGATCTCATGTCACTGATGAAGAAGTGAAAAGACGCATGCGTAAGAAATGTAATCGGGCCGTACACCGACATTCTATCATTGGTCAAGCAACGCGAGCTGAAATGGTATGACATCTTGCACATTCCAGGCTACGGATCCCTGGGCCTGATGACCAGTGTGTTGGTCTGTCCCGACGGCAAGACGATCGAGGCCGAGGCCGCCCACGGCACTGTCACGAGGCACTACAGGGAGCACCAGAAGGTCAGTGGTCAGTGTGTGTGGGGGGAGGGGGGGCAAGGTCAGTGGTCAGTGTGTGTGGGGAGAGGGGGGCTCTTGTGGTCGAGAGGTTACCGTATTCGCCTCTCATTCAGAAGGTCCCGAGTTCAAATCCGGATAGCGATGGAAATTTTTCTTGTTTGAAATTTTCTCCTTTCCCCTCCTTTCTTGCTCTCTCTAACAATGTTATGTTGTCTGCTTTTGTTTCCACACTATTCCCCCACCCCTTTCCCTGTTCTCCTGACTCTTTCTGCAGCCTTTCTTCTGCTACTCCTTTGTGAAAAATCTCGAAGGTTGCGTGCACAAGTTGCTCAAAAATGGATGAGAAGAGTAGGATTTGGCCCTCCACCGGGGCAGCAAAATTCAAAGTTAATTCCTACCAAAACTTGAATGTTTAATATGTCTCCTGTGCTTATATGACCTGATGCAGCTGTGAGCGCTGTAAAACACTCAACAACAAAAAAAGAAGCAGATTAGTGCAGGAGGGTTGGTCTAAGCTGACAAAACGCCTTATATTCATTTTTGGTGCCAAATTTTTTTAATTTGCTAAGTCGATAGTCTGATGAGTTAAGTTACCCTATTTGTGTTGAAAAATCGAAGTGAAAATATGACAAGTTTTTCAATAAATGAGAATTCAAATTTTAGAAGGAGGCATTTTAAAAAATGATTACACTTTGCGACTCCTGCAGGGTAACCCAACCAGCACCAACCCCATCGCCAGCATCTACGCCTGGACCCGCGGCCTTGAGCACCGAGGCAAGCTGGACGGCAACGCTGACCTTCAGAAGTTTGCCCTGAGGATGGAGAAGGCCTGCGTGGACTGTGTGGACAGCGGCAAGATGACCAAGGACTTGGCCGGATGTATATACGGGCTCAAGAAGTGAGTGGGCTTTTTTTTGTGTGTGTTTTCATTTATTTGTGTGTTTTCGTCTCTTTTGTGTTGCTATGCGTGTTTTTGTCTGATTGTGTTGTGTTTTGGATATATATATACGAGCTGAAGAAGTGAGTGGGGTTTTTTGTGTGTTTTTGTTTGTTTGTGTGTATTTGTTTGTATATACGGGCTCAAGAAGTGAGTGGGCTGTTTGTTTTTGTGTGTGTGTTTGTTTGTTTGTGTGTATTATTTCGTTTGTATATACGTGCTCAAGAAGTGAGTGTTCTTTCTTTATGTGTGTTTTTGTTTGTTTGTGGATGTATATACAGGTTCAAGAAGTGAGTGTTCTTTCTTTATGTGTGTTTTTGTTTGTTTGTGGATGTATATACGGGCTCAAGAAGTTAGGCGGGTCTTTTTGTGTTTTCGGTGTGCTGTGTGTTTTTGTTTGTACGGGCTCAAGAAATGAGTTTTTTTTTGTGATTTTGTGTATTTGTTGAGTTGTGTGGTCTGTTTTCGTCTCTTTTGTGTTGCCATTGGTGTTTTCGTCTGATTGTGTTGTGTGTTTTTGTTTGTATATGGTGTTTTTTGTGTGTGTTTGTGGTTTTGTGTTTGTATAAATATTACAGGCTCAAGAAGTGAGGGTTTTTGTGTTTGTGGTTGTGTTGTGTGTTTTTGTCCGTTGTGTGTTGTGTGTTTTCATTGTGTTGTGTGTTTTTGTCCGTTGTGTGTTGTGTGTTTTCATTGTGTTGTGTGTTTTTGTCCGTTGTGTGTTGTGTGTTTTCATTGTGTTGTGTGTTTTTGGATGTATATACGGGCTCAAGAAACGAGGGTTTTTTGGATGTATTTGCAAATGCCGTAAAATTCTTATTACAAAAAACTGAAGAAAAACAACAGAGCCAACTTTTTCTTTTGTGAGCGTTTTCCCCTGAAGTTTCACTGAGATTCGACCACCTCTTTACCATCAAACTACTATCATCCTGATTTCTCTTCCTTCTTTTTTATGTTTGTTACTCTCTTGTAACACCTCTAGTCTTCGGCACTTATATGACCTTATTGTGTTGCAAGTGCCCTAAAACTCTTAATGGGTGGTTGGCGGGTGCTCTGGTGTGGTTTGGTTCTTCTTTCCTATCAAACATCTATCGTCCTTATCTCCCCTCCTTCTTTTTTATGTTTGTTACTCTCTTGTAACGCCTCTAATTTTCTGGCGCTCATATGACCTTATGCAGTTGCGAGCGCCGTAAAACCTCTACTTAAACAAATGTAAAACTTTTACTAAAACTAAAACTTCGCTCATAGTGTGTTTTCACTGACCTGTGTCTATGGTGTGTTCATTTGGATGAAAAATTGTTTCGGTGTGCTTCTCATTTCTCAAACAAACAACCAAACAAACAAACAAACAAACTCTCACACAGAGCCGACTGTTTTCTTTTGTGAGCCTTTCCCCCCGAAGTTTCACTGAGATTC